ATTCTCAGCAACCACAATTGGAGCCAGATTTTCAGAAAAGCTCCACTCTAATTTAGGCACTGGAGTGAAATCCTGACCATTTTGAAGTTAATAGGAGTTTTGCCATTGACTTCTATGGGTCCAGGTTTTCATTCATCTCAGGTTTTTCAGAAATGCTTTCCACCCAGCAGCTCCTATTGTGACACTGACTAGATTTTTCTGAGGAACTCAATAGCTAATGTGCTGAGCTCTTTTGAAAATCTGGCCCCAGTTGTGAGTGCTGAGTCCTTTTGAAAATCTGGCCCTAAATCTCTAGCCTTTATGGTTGTGAAGAAAAATGTGTAAATAGTATCAATGAAGTGGTGATGGCCGCAGAGTCTGAAACAAAAGCTCATTCTTCTCAGTGAAGTGTTAACTCAGAAGCCTAAGGAGAATGATTTCATGTCAACATGGTTAACTATTTCACTGATCAAAGCATATAAGAATGGGTGATCGTATCATGAGGATCTGCACAGTCTACTTTGACATCCTGTTATGGCACCACAAGTGAGTGATGCTTCGGTAACTGCAGCCACTTATGCTTCCCCCTTAATCTGACCTCTTGAATCAACAAGCCAAAGGAGCACCCAAGTCCTGCCCAGGGAGAGCTGAAAACCAGGATGATATCTGAGCCTCCATGAGGGGGAGACAGACTTGAGAAGCCAAACAGAGCCCATCAGCTCTTTCAACCCTATGGGTGGTGCGCCAAGTCCAAGAAGTACTATGAACATCTGCCTAACCTCTTGGAAGCTGATTCTCATTTTGATATCTCATGTGCTGGAGTTTGAAAAAGTGCCAGTTTTCTCCCTACTCCCAATTCAGCACCTGTGTTGCACTCAAAAGAAGCACAATTTTTTTTTTCATATCCAGTACTGGGATTCTCAAGTTCATGCCAAATACAAGTATATTGCTAACCCCAAGTGCCCAAAAATCACGAGACTGGCTTAAAATCATGAGATCTTTAAAAATAATAACTTTTGGAATTTTTCTGTGTCTTCTAGTTTTTGAACCTGTAGGGGGTCACATTTTCAAGCTTTTCTCTGCAACCATGTAGGTTAGATGTGTAATGTTAACACAGAAATGAAAGCTGAAATTCCCCCCTAATCACAGGATTCCAGGAGCTGGGGCTTTCTGGAAAACACTAAATATTGCTAGACTCATCGTAGAACAACAAAAGTTGGCAACGCAGGAAAGGCATTGTTTAGCTGGCGTATTTAATAACCTCATTTTTAAAGAAAGTATTACCATCAAAATGTTGTGCAAAAGCCATTCTTAAAAATTCAGATTTACAGCAAGTTCACTAATCTGAACATCTACTTTTACTTGGGTTAGCATAGATGCGCCCATCTCCACACGCACGCAAGGCTAGAGTTCATACTGTAACTTTGCAAGGCATGCTATACCACTATTGAGCTTTGTTCTGAGAAGACATGCATTAATTAGCACTTGTATAGTGCTTTATATCTTGGACATGTTTCATATTCATCATCCAAAAAACAGCCATCCAAGACATTTGGGTGATTATTACCACTTCCCAAATGGAGAAAATGAAGATACAGAGGGGATGAGAGGAAAAATATTATTGTGGTTTAAGGCATAGGTATGGCAATCCATGTAAAGTGGACTTTATTCCTGGGTCTGCAGTGATCTTATTGTGCAATCTTGGGGACACCTTTTAGCTTCTTTACACTTCAGTTTCCCCATCTGTACATTTCTGGCTTCTTTCAGTTCAAACTGAAAGTGAAAAGACAGGCAGGCAGTCATATGTGCAAAGAGTAGGAAGAGAAGCCTGAGCAGCTTTGTGCTTTTGAGATCCTTAGATGTGGGGTGCTATACTTGATAGTTGCAAAGTTTTGTGTTTATTGCACGTCTGATGTAAATAATGTTGCCAGATTTTCCCGTTACTTTGGGGTATGCTCATTTATTAGGGTTACTCTTCTTGGGGGGAGGGGGTGTCTGTAATTCTATCAATGTGCTGCTTGTGTCACTTGTGTTTTCATATGGCGCTCTACTTTTCCCTTCTTCAAGTCCCCTCTCAGTGGAGCTATCTTGCAGGACCTAGGTTCCCTAGGGCTGGGTTCCTCCAGCTCCAGAATCAGATGAACACGAACACACACACACATACACATACATATATATATATTAAGAGCAAGTCTGAGTGGACCGGATCAATCAGCACTTTCAAGCTGACCCCTTATATATTCCTGGGCTCAATAGGCTGGGCCAAGCAGCACTTCCAAGCTGCCTCCCTTATATGCCACAGGTTCAGCATGTCCGGGCATCCCTATCCTCACTTTCACATCACAATTGTTCTGGTAGTAACTCACTTGATGAGCAAACCCCACAATATTTTTGGGCACTACAGAGATCTTTAGCTTAGGTAAGAGAAGCGTTGCTGCAGAGTGAATGGGGAAGCTAAAACCACAAAAGAGTAAAGCTCAGTGAGGGAAGCAACCAGCTAATCATAAAAGTTATTAATTGTATAATAGTGATAACCACATAAGGAGAGCCTAAACAACCATAACAGTTACATTATTAAAGGTTACAAAAGTCATATATAGAAAACTATACCTGCCTGAGGTAGAAAAGAAAACAGAGAGAGAGAGAGAGAGAGAGCGAGCGAGCGAGCTGGGATCTCACCAATCCATGAAGCTTGAACTGGTCGGGGTTCCCAAGTGATGGTGGTAGCTCAGGGTCCTGAGTGCAGGAGACAGGCAGAGCCCCCCAGCACGATCAGTCAGGAGAAGATGAAATCCCAGTGGGACTGATCCAGAGTTTGGATCCAGGCATTAGAGCACTTCCTTGAGCGTGGGTAGAGATTTTTGTAGGGAAACAACAATGGTTCAAGGGAGAACACTAGATTTGCTTATGGGTAAACTGATGACTCAAGGGTTTTCTTTAGGCTAGACAATAGAAGCTGATCACTCTTGGCTATGGGTAGTGTTCCTTCCAGGGAGCTCACAATGCAATTAGGCAGCATCAGTATTTTGGATATCAATCAAGCAAAGCCGCCACCCCGAGCACCTCCGGCCACGCCAAGATTCGCCGCCCTTTACAAGGTGCTGCCTCAAGCGCATGCTTGGTCGGCTGGTGCCTGGAGCCAGCTCTGCAATCAAGGATTCATTACTAGAATTGATCTGCTAACTGCTGAGCTGGGTGTGTGCAGGTGTAGGTTCATTAACATCTGGAGCCGAGATCCCCCAGGATGCAGTGCTTCCCTGCTCCCAGAGTTCAGTGCGGTTCTTGCCTTGGAATCTCTGCTCTCCATTCTGTATGCTAATGGAGATGCCTCCCTGTCCCATCTTTGGTGCAAATGAGGCTAGGGGAGTTGCGTTAATCCTATCACCCTTGTCAGGAGGGGTCTAGGTGTGTCTCCCACTGTCCTTCACTGCTCTCTGCAAGTCTTTTCTCTGATCGGTTTTGGTTCAAGCAGAGGCTGGGGGTGGGGGGGGGTCCCTTAATGAGTCAGACAGGCTGGATACTGTGCCCTGGTTCCCCAAGAACACAGAGCTGACTGGTATCAATAGTCTTTACTCCTCTAATATTATTTCTCTTTAGAGATTTTCATAGTTGTGTTCCCCTTGAGCTAAATGCCCTTGAGCTCATGTCTTTGAGCTAAATACATCAACTTAAATTAATTTTTCTTCCGTTTCAAGTGCCTGTATCACTCTGGTTGTCTTTCCCTGAAGTTTGAGTTTTTAATATTTCCCAGTTTAAAAAGTGGAGACCAGATCAGTGTAGAGTGCCCTTCCCACTCTCCCTCCTCAAGGGAGGACCTGAAAAATCCGTGTGAAATTAAATAATGTATTAGAGGTGCTGCTGGTAGTCATTCTAGTTGAGGTTGCCAACCCAGTCCACTATACGACCATATTTTCAGTTGCTCATAAGGTTGAACTTTAACCATTGAAGCTGAACTTTTCCATGTCAGGTGTCTGCCTTAGGCTCAATTATTTTTGGAGCAAAAATGATTAAGCCGTTTTTGAGAACAAAGTTAGGGGAAAATATGTTTTGCCCATGTTAAATATAAGTGTGCGTGTGTGTGTAAAAATAAATAATGACATACTGTTTTTAAAGAGTGCTCTATCAAACAGTCTTTATAAATTGATTTATTTCAAAATATTCCTAAATTGACAAGGTTAAGTGCAGATTTATATAGCACTCTTTAGATCCCCTTGGATGGAAAGCAGTACAGAACTGCAACTATCAAATGCGGGGGTGGGGGGGACAACCAAACCAAACCCTCCCACTCCTTATGTGTAATGGAAAGTCAAAGGCAGCACATAACGTGTAACCTGTGGGTTTACATCCGGGGGGAAGGAAGTGCCTGCCCTTGGTTGATTGTGTAAATAAAGCCTGAGAGGATGGAATGAAGGAGCAGCTTCCAGCAATGCCAAAGACCAGACGTTTAACACACACAGCAGGCACTGGATCGCACTTCAACTTACTAACTTCGTGGAGTCAAAAGTTCTCCTGCTTTTAAAGTTCCCAGTGTGGCTGCTTTTCTGTCTCCCTCTCTCCCCCTTCTCTCGCTCTTAAAAAATGCATCAGTCTCTTCCCCCAACCCCGGTCTTGTGTGTGTGATTCTCTCGTGTTTCCACTACTAACGTGCTGCTGCTGCCGTCTCTGTGAGCCCCCTTTTTTGTAGCGGAAACGAGTGGTGTGGCTGAAATGACGTACAGGACAAGGGTTACTTTGTACGTCTCCTCTCCTGGAGAGACAGACAACGGGACAGTCATTCAGTCCACCCTCCCTTCCTCCTGGAGCATTAGTTAGCTTAGCCTTAGCAAGGAGGAGAGGAGACTGAGCCAGGGAGGGTGAGAGAATCAGGAAAAAAAAGAGCTCTCTCCTCCCAAACACAGGAGGAGGAGGAAGAGAGCCAGAGGCCAAACAAAACAGTGAGAGAGTTGAAGGAAACCTCCTCCCCTTCTTGGAAAAGGAAAGTGAAAAGTGAGTAGGCTTTGAGGATGATAACTTAGTGCAGAGCAGGGAGGGGCAGCCAGTCCTTTCTCTCCCAGGCTCTGCCAAGTGCCCCCATTGCAGAAGTGCTCACGTCTGTCTGGTGTGTTTGGAAAGGAGGACAGGAGAGATGGCACAGGATGCTGAAGGGGGCGAGGATGTGCCCCAGGTGCCGAAGGAAGAGGAGAAGGAGAGGAAGAACAGGAGGCGAAGAAAGAGGAAGAAGGAGAGCAAGACACGGACTGTGCGCTCTAACCTGCTGCTACCTGGGCCTGAGGCGGAGAAGCCCCAAAGGAGCCCCCTGGCCAACAATCGCCTCAAGACCACCAAGTACACGGCTCTGTCCTTCCTGCCCAAGAACCTCTTTGAACAGTTTCACCGCCTGGCCAATGTCTACTTCGTCTTCATTGCGCTGCTCAACTTTGTGCCGGCGGTGAATGCCTTCCAGCCTGAGCTGGCCTTGGCCCCTGTGCTCTTCATCCTGGCTGTCACTGCCATCAAGGACTTGTGGGAGGATTACAGCCGCTACCGCTCTGACAATGAGATTAACCACATGGAGTGTCTGGTCTACTGCAGGTGAGGGAGCATGCTGTGTGCATGGGGTGGAGGGTGGGAGACTGGCAGAGACATGGGGGGAGCATTATGGCAACTGGTTTCAATGGAAAGACTGAGATGGGGGCACATAAGACGGGCAGGGGCATGTTGAGGGGTTGATATCACCAAACAGGGATTTGTCTCTTCCGCCATGTGCTTGCTGCTATGAAATGTGGGAGGGGGTCTAGAGGGATTGTATTTTTGACCATGTTTGTACAGCGCCTAGCACAATGGGGTCCCTCCCAGCCCATAATTAGGGCTCCTAGGTGCTACAGTATTCTAATGAGAGTTGGGGAGTGAGCAGGTGACATGCTCTGAAGTGTTTCCATTTACAACACTAAACTCAGTGTTTAATGAAAACACTCTGTTATCCACATCTTTGGTATTTATCCCATGAACCTAGTTTGCTGTCCTCTTATCCAGAAGTTTTGACATTCCCAAAGCATTTGAGATAATCTGTGCTTGCAAACAGAAAAATTCTAATTCATTCGGATGACTGGGAATCCCACAGTGAATTACGGACTTGTGAGAGTTAGTGAGTAAGCAAAATTTTTTTTGTTTTTGTTTTATTTTTTTAAAAAATGGCTTGTGCAGCATCACAAAATGAACTTCATTCATTTACTGGACAAGTATTATTTGATTTGTAAGCATTTGTAAGAATACTTCATCGTGTAAGTGGTCAATTCTACTGCAGTATACTTGCTAACAGGGATTTAGTTTTAGTAACATGAAACCACACTCAAGCAATGTGCTATTAAATCTTTGCTGAGCAGAGGGCAGAGGCCTCAGGTTTCTCTGTTTGAATTATGGGAGGGGGGGTTAGTGAAGTGTGAATTGGTGGGGTTCTGCTGTGTTTGCTTTTCTAAAGAATGTGAGGTGGGGGCATCATTGAACATTTGCTTTTCAAAAGCCCATCATTTATCATCAGAAGTGTCATCATGCACTGTGAATTTGCTACCTCCTGGTGCTCAGAGAGGAGTTTTCGTCCATTTGTTTCTTCTCTCTTTGAAATGAATTTTTACATGTGATCAGAGCTACACTGATTTACACCAACTGAGGCTCTAGCCCTTAGAGTTTTTAACAGTTCCTTTTTAAAGCATCATTGGTTATTTACCCAATCGTAGCTGAGGCTGAGATTTTTTGGGAAGCCAGGGGTGGGGGGCGAGAGGGTGGTCTTATGCACCAGTTTCCAAGAGAGCTGGTTTTGCTGATCCTTCTGCTGCTATTACAGTACAGGCAGTAAAGTGAGGCAGGAATGTGAAATGTGTTAAGAAGTTTATGTTGTCTCTTCCTGGTTGGGGGGTGTGGTGGTCCTGACTGAGACAGGCATTCCAGCAGACAGCAGCAACTCTCTCATTACAAGTCAGAACAGACTAAGTCAGAAATACTTGCAGTAGGCTTTATTTTTAGTCTTCATCAAATTCTGTCTTTCATTTCCCAGTCTCATATCACATCAAGAAATCTCAGCCTAATTTTTTCCCCTCCTATAGTTATGCTTGTGTGGAAAAGATAGTAAAAGGGTTTTATTTCAGTTGGCTAAAACTGTAATAACTAAACCAAGGCAAAGCACATGCAAACAAGTAACGCTTATTTAGGACCACATTCTGACACCCCAACTCATGTGGAACAGATTTAAAATTTTTATTAAAGCTAATGTTAAAAAAATTATATAATACATAGGTTGAGCAAAGAGTGTCTGTACAGCTGGGTATAGTGCTTAGATTATCCACAAATACAAAGTTTGTTTTAAAGTCATATGATACATAGAGTACATAATCAGCAATATCCCAATTTAAGGTGAATAGATTTAACAATACAGTTTAGATCAGGGATCAGCAACCTTTGGCACGCGGCCCGCCAGGATAAGCCCCCTGGTGGGCTGGGCCGGTTTGTTTACCTGCCGCGTCCGCAGGTTCGGCCGATCGTGGCTCCCACTGGCCGCAGTTCGCCGTTCCAGGCCAATGTGGGTTGC